AAAGTTTGTTCACAAGCTGTTAGCTGTCAGCCTGTCGACACGTTGTGTTGGCACTACTTTTCCCAGTTGTTGGAACAAGCTGTTAACAACTTGTAACAAGCTTGATGGAATTATCAGACTTGTTTCAAGGTTGTTCTAACAAATCTGATACAGTCACGATATACCAAAAGGCATGTTGTAAAAGACGGACTGGACTAGGAAAACGCGGACTCCGTATTTTCCATATTTTTCTCTGACGTCAGACTCCGTGTTTTCCATATTTTTCTCTGACGTCAGACTCCGTATTTTCCATATTTTTTTCTGACGTCAGACTCCGTGTTTTCCATATTTTTCTCTGACGTCAGACTCCGTGTCTTCCATATTTTTCTCTGACGTCAGACTCCGTGTTTTCCATATTTTTCTCTGACGTCAGACTCCGTGTTTTCCATATTTTTCTCTGACGTCAGACTCCGTATTTTCCATATTTTTTTCTGACGTCAGACTCCGTGTTTTCCATATTTTTCTCTGACGTCAGACTCCGTGTTTTCCATATTTTTCTCTGACGTCAGACTCCGTGTTTTCCATATTTTTCTCTGACGTCAGACTCCGTGTTTTCCATATTTTTCTCTGACGTCAGACTCCGTATTTTCCATATTTTTTTCTGACGTCAGACTCCGTGTTTTCCATATTTTTCTCTGACGTCAGACTCCGTGTTTTCCATATTTTTCTCTGACGTCAGACTCCGTGTTTTCCATATTTTTTTCTGACGTCAGACTCCGTGTTTTCCATATTTTTTTCTGACGTCAGACTCCGTGTTTTCCATATTTTTCTCTGACGTCAGACTCCGTGTTTTCCATATTTTTTTCTGACGTCAGACTCCGTGTTTTCCATATTTTTTTCTGACGTCAGACTCCGTGTTTTCCATATTTTAAGACTCCAGGACTCCGTCTTTTCCATCTTACCTTTCTTGATGTGTTGTTGTCTGCAGTCCCTCCTTTCCTTTCAAGGAGGGACTTCCTCGCAGTCTAATACACTAATCACGCAATATTGAGCGTCTGCCACGCAAGCTATCCTCCGTATTACTAACAGTGGCGTGCTGGGTACTATTTTTCTGGGGGGGCCAGTGGGTTGTCAACCAATATGTGCCCCTATAATGTTACGCTTGATACACGAGGGCAGAAGGCACGAGCCGAGCGCCGTAGGTTCTGTAATATTCTTATAATATAGATTGTAGTTCAAAGCGAGACTTGTTTGCTTGGTGATTATATTGATACTGACTCTTATTACCATGTAATATAAAGCTATATACAAATTACGTCATGCATGCATATGACGTCACATCATTACATCCCTCCCTTGTTTTGAATGGAAGTTCGTCGGGCATTGTTCATATGTAGTAGTTTGAACTAATTAAAACCAATGATCTAAACTGAAGTATATAATTATATTTAGTAATAAAACATAGTTAGTTTGAATATTGTTAATGCTGATATTCAATGTTTAGGCGTTCTGGGGTCGCCTATTTTCTCTTGTTGGATAACGCCTAATTTCCGCAGGATGGTCCGGTGTTGGAATGTTGGTCTCTTCATCGTCAAAAGGGTCTGGTACATGATCTTGTTGATGTGTGGTGATGGTGATTTTCTTGAACTGCGACCTGTTTCTTGTTATATAGCTCGTTGCGTTTCTTGCCGTTATCATACTACCTTTGATCTTGACGATAGTGTATGGATGTTTGTTGTACGGTGAGGAAAGTTTATTGACGCGTTTTTGACGAACGAGAACAGTGTCACCAACTTGAAAGCTGTGTGGTTTTGCTTTGGCTGCGGTATCAGCATACACTTTCATCTTTTCCTTCTTTTTGAGATCGATATCGGCGAATTGGGATCGTGATGGTGACGTGGGGACTACTTCCGGTAACTTGACGGCTAATTTTCGTCCAAAGAGGAGCTCCGCAGGGGAAATTCCTGTGGTGGAATGTGGCGTTGCACGGTAGTTTCGGAGGAAAAGAAACAGTTCTTGCTTCCAATTCTTGTTTTCGAGGTGGGCAGCGCGGAGGGTTTTCTGAATTGTTCGCATGAAACGTTCAGACTCAGAATTGGCTTTGGGCCACTCTGGAGTGATCTTTCGGTGGTGAAACCCCATATATTGCGCGAACTGGGCGAAAGAGTGACTTTGAAATGGAGGTCCGTTGTCAGACTTGATTTCTCTGGGAATGCCATGCGTGGATAGAATGCGGTCGAGTTTCGGGATGACGGTATTTGCAGAGGTGGAGCGAACAATTTCAACCTCGGGATAGCGCGAGTATTCGTCGATTACCACGAAGAGCATATCGCCTGAGGGAAGAGGGCCACAGAAATCGACAGAGAGTTGTTGCCAAGGGGCCTGTGGTAACTCGGTCATGCGTAGGGGTTCAAATGGCTGTTGAACGACTGTTGCCTGACAGGCGAGACAATTGTCAATTAGCTTTTTCATAAGCCCATCAATTCCAGGAAACCAAATCTTTTCGCGGAGCAGCTGTTTGGTTTTGGTAAGACCTTGATGACCTTCGTGGGCGATGTGGAGAGCACGTTGACGAAGGGCATGTGGGAGGATGAGACGGTGAGAGCGAAGAACGAGGTCATGATCAGTAGACACAGTCAGTTCGTCACGAATTTGGTGGAAAGCCTTGAGATCGTGGAGGTTGACACGGGGGTCTGGTGTGGAAAGAACAGAGTGCCAGGAATTGTTGTGGAGGGCATCGCTGACGCATTGCAGAGTGGGGTCAATACGGGTAAATTGTTTAACTTCATCAACGGTCATAGCTTTGGGAGTGGTATAATTGGCTAGGAACGAAATGTACTCTTCTGCTTGTGTCGATGCAGTGGAAGAATGTGTTGTGGCAAGAGGATGACGGGACAGGTAATCGGCGGGGTTGGTCTTGCCAGGAGAATACGAAATGGTAAAGTGATAGGGTTGAAGCTTGAGAGCCCAGCGTTCTAATCTGGCGTTGGGAGCAGAGGGATTGGAAAAAATCCGTTCCAAAGGTTTGTGGTCAGTGATGATGGAAAATTTGGTGCCATAAATGTAAAGATGAAAGTGGTGGCAAGCGAAAAGAACACCCAGGGCTTCACGTCCGGTTTGGGAATACCGCTGTTCAACTGGGGTAAGGGAACGACTTGCATAGGCGACGATGCGTTGGTCTTGACAAAAGATAGCACCAAGGCCAACAGGGCTGTCATCGACAATGATGGTGGCTTCTTTGTGAGGGTTGAAATACGCAAGGACAGTGTCACTAGTCAGAAGGTCTTTGAGCTGATCAAAAGCTTGTTGGTGCTGGGAGGTCCACGTCCAGGGTTGATCAGATTTGGTGAGTGCTCGGAGAGGGTCGGTGATGGAGGAATAATTAGGAATGAAGCGGGAACAGTAGTTGGTCATGCCGAGAAAACTACGAACTTCGTGAGCATTGGTAGGGAGGCTGGTATTGCGAATTGCAGAGACTTTCTTGGGGTCTGGGGATACACCATTGCCCGAAAATACGTAACCGAAAAATTCAATACTGGATTTGTTATACTCGCATTTGTCAATATTCAAAGTCAGATTTTTCGATCGCAAACGTTCGAAAACAGCATGAAGTGCTTTGTCATGGGCCGCCTGATCACGTCCAAAAATTATGATGTCGTCGCTTACGTTTCGTACACCGTCAATACCGCTGAGAACTTGTTGAATTGCATTTTGGAACACCTCAGCAGCAGAAGACGTACCAAAGTTCAGGCGTGTATATCTTCGCAGTCCTTTATGCGTTGAAAACGTAGTGATGTAACGACTCTCGGGCGCGAGTTCGAGCTGGTGATAACCTGAGTTTAAATCGAGTTTGGAAAAAACGGTCGCACCATTGAGATCGTGAATGAGGTCATCGATTGTTGGGGTGATATGACGTTCGCGAAGAATCGCACGATTGGGGTGACGCATGTCAACACAGATGCGAATCTCGTCAGGTTTCTTTGGTTTCGGTGTGACGACGAGAGGGGACACCCACGGCCTTGGGCCATCCACTGGTTCAATAACACCTTGGCGTTCAAGCTAGTCAAGTTCGGTTTCGAGTTTTGGAACGGAATATGCCGATGCGGTTGAGTTACTGGTGGGACAGAATGATCAATATGCAAATGCACTTGAAAGTCTTTCATTTTGCCAATACCCGTAAAGAGATCAGGGTACTCAGAGCGGACGTGTGTGCTTGTAGATGGTGAAGACAGGTTTGAGGTGTCGACTGACGCGGTGGTTTGAGCAATGACAGAAATGAGTTTTAATTCTGTCGCGGTTTTGTAGCTTAATAGGAAACCAGATGATCCTTCAATGACGTAGATGGTGGCGGAAACGATGCGAAATTTCGATTCAACGTGGGTAGTAAATGTCCCGAGAACAGGTAAAGGTGTTGTATTGCCGTAACTGTATATCTTGGTTGAGGAAGGTGAAAGTGGGATCTGTTTGTTTTTAAGCGATTTGATGATGGTGTGATAAGCGTTCTCATCAATCACATTAATACTGGCGCCGGAATCTATCAACACTTGAAGGGAACATCCGCAATCATGACTTTAGCCTTTGGGGTAGTTACGTCACGGACTTGCGAAATAGTTGCATTGGTTGACGCAACGGGAGGGCCAGAGAGGACTGTAAAAAGATACTCATCGTCAGAGCTTGAGGGATTAAGGGGATATTGACTGCGATCTTGATTTTGATTGGCGGAAAGATGACGAATCTGGCGTTGAGCTGACTGACGTGGAAATGGGCTATGAGGTAACCTGCGATCAGGCTCTGAGGTGGGAGGGTACAGGTCGTTGCGCTGTTGCTGACGGGGGGAGCGACGTTGGCCAACTGAGTGATTTGGAGGTTTCGAACGACAACAACGAGCAAAATTATTCATTTTTCCGCACGAACGACATTGACAACGTACCGCGAGCAGGGCAGCTATCTTGTCCTTGTGGATGTGGGTAGGCATTGCCGCAGTGTCCACACGTAGATGTTGGGCGAGGATATTGTTGTGAAGAGGGGAAATTACCCGAGGACGATTGAGAAGGCAAAGATGCACGAGTATAGTTCAGTTCTTCCGCGTCAAAAGGTGCGATTGACTGCGATTCAATGCCAGAAGCTTGTTTTTCGGATATTTCCATCGCGCGGCCCAAATCAAAAGGCTTTTGAGGGTAAGAGACGACTCACGTAACGCACGTCGACGAAGGCGCGATGAGGAGCAGCTGAGAATTATTTGGGATTTGATTTCTTTGTCAATAGAATCAAATTCACAAGTAGAGGCAAGTTGTCGTAAGCGAGTGGCGAACTGATCTAGCGTTTCAGTCGATAGTTGACAAGCTTGGCGAAAGAGATACGTTTCGTAGTCGATGTTGCGCTGCGGTGTAAAATGTTCGGTGAGTCGATCGATTGCCTTGTCATAATCTTTCGCTTCGCCTGTGTCTGTCAGAGTTTCAAAAATGTCAAATGCCGAGGGGCCAATGTAGTGCAAAAGAAGAGCTCGTTTTCGGGTGGCATCGGTGATATTCATTGCAACAAGGAAATTATTAAAACGTTTAGTCCACTTGTCCCATCGTTGCCCGGTCGTGGTGGCGTCGTCATCCACATTGAATGGTGGAAACGGTGGCAGGGCAGAGGCCGTTGCACTAATGAAAAAGACTGTTTAATCTTCGTCGCCAATGTAATATTCTTATAATATAGATTGTAGTTCAAAGCGAGACTTGTTTGCTTGGTGATTATATTGATACTGAATCTTATTAACATGTAATATAAAGCTATATACAAGTTACGTCATACATGCATATGACGTCACATCATTACAAGATCGATCTCAAATTTTTACGACGGTTCACACTTAGCTCGATTTACTTCGGACCGATCTCAGATCGATCTAAACGACTAGTGTGAACAGGACCTAAGTAAATCACAAAATAACGATGAAAGTACCTTGTTTGATGTATTTCCAGCAAGAATCAGATATAAATTAATAAATACAAACAAGAATTGAATTCAAAAAAGTTTATTTTCGTGTATTCGGAAAAGAAATGGCGGCTGGGTTTGAGCCCGCAATACCACGGCACGTCTAATTTAATGGTTTAGCTTCTAACTTGTACTACTTCGTGTAAGGAAACATAATAATTGATTATGGCGGGCCTTGGCGACATTTTATAATAACCTGTACCGTAGATCTTTCTGTGGTGCATTCATTGCTCTGTATCTTTTGCGATGATACCTAATTATGAGATGTCGATCATCGTAGCTTCGTCGAAAAGTAAGTAATTTTATTTTACAAACTACAAAGTCGTATTTTGAACATACTATAGATGACTTTCTTTATTTATAGTCTATATATATACTATTTAAAACACGAGTAGGAGTGTTTTATCAGATATAAAATGCGAGGCGCAGTCGAGCGTTTTATATCTGATAAAACACGACAACGAGTGTTTGAATAGCTTAAAATATGACTACAAAAGAATACTAATTAGGATGAACCATTATATAATAATGCTAATTAGGATGAACAATTATACAATGCCACATGTGTTTTATCAGATATAAAGTCACTCCACGTGACATATTATGGCTGACATGATTTGCCACAAGGTTTATGAATTATTAATTAATGAGTATTTTAAATAGTACATATATAACTACAGACACGGTACTGTTACGGCCTTTAGGATACCTAGTGTACTTCACTAGGCTAGTGAGAGGTATTCTGTACTTTAGCACTCATGAATGTATCATGAATGTATCTTTGATAATAAGATCTAAGTTAGATTTCATATACAACATTTAATGGCGTGTGATTGTCTAATTTGACTGAGTTTCACAAAGAAACACATTGGAGAAGATAGCCAGAAGACTGCCTTAACAACATACTGTAATTTAGGTAATTCTCATTGGAATAATGCGTTGTAATTCCATATACATATAAACGCCAAATAACCAAGCCTCATTAATACTGGTGAGAGATGGTGCCCTAACAGCACATGCCCTTGGTGTTTGTGTACATGTATTTATGAAAAAAACATGCAGGAAACTAACAAATAAATAAGGAATAGACTAGAATGGACGACAAACTCAAAGTGCAAAATTGGGCATGCTTGTGCGAGATTATGCGACATTAGGTGAAATTAGGCGACATTAAGCGAATAGACTGTTAGGCAAAGTTCAAGAATCGAGTGCACATGGGCGAAATTGGGCGAAATTAGGCGACATTAGGCGAAATTAGGCGAAATTAGGCGACATTAGGCGACCTTGGCCCCAAAGTAGGCCTGTTATTTGAGAAAGCTGCAAATATTTATTACAGTAATCATATTGCTTAGCGCTCATCCTTGAGCTGAAATTCAGACTGCGTCATGGAGTTAAACTCTCTACTTTCACACGTTGTCCACGATGTCTGTTTGGTTTTATTACATATATTACGCCGCTACTTCAGGATCACTAGTTGCGGCTAGTGTCAGATTAGTTGGTTGTTTTCGCCGTGGAATGCGGACGGAAATTTCAAAGTGGGGAAATTAATTTTTATTAAGGACGGTTACCAGGCGTTTTATTTTTCCTTCGCCCGTTTGTTCTCGACTTTTTTCTTCGCCCATTACTTCTAACCTGCCATTTATTCAAAAATCCTCAAAACCTTCAATAAAATAAAGCGACTGCTACGCATGCTATCCGAATATTGATATCACAAACCGTCGAAGACTCCTCACTCCAGGCAATTTACATTAAATGAAACAAATTTCAAACTGTCATGACAAAACACATTATACCGTGCCAGGTAGGCCTAGCAAACTGATGAAACTGACTGCATGTCTCAACACTAACCCAGGGAATACAGCCCTCTGCTCCTCCTCCCCTGTCTCACACGCTTCTGAAAAATAAGCATTACACAATCCGAGAGTGTTATTTTCGTTCTATTTGCAATGACAACAAATATGACTACATTTTGTACTTGAAAGCGCTAAAAGCAACGGTAGAAAGTAAATGAAAATGTTGTAATTGCTTCTTTCAACTTGTTTGACAAAAGCCAAGAAATTGTGTTCCTGGTGTCCTGTAAAAACAAAACAAAATACATGTCAAGAATTCATTATTTCGAAGATAACTTATAACTGAAGTTTGTACGTTGAGTATATTCATAACACACAATAATAATTCTGCAGTTAAAACGATAAGCACAAAGTTCAAATTCTTCGTTTATCTCTGGTATCAAAAATTCAAATACATAACTTGACACATAGATACTGAATAGACAACTATTGGAACTCCCCCACAATAGCGTAGTATTTAACAATTATTTGCGGAAGGCGAGGTGATTATCGGGGAATATTCGCCGAGACGAAGTCGAGGTGAATATTCCCCGCTAATCACCGGGCCTGAGGCGAATAATTGTTTTAGTATTTTTACACAAGTCTTTTGTGTTTTTGGATCTGAATTTATTTTAATTTCGCTTATTTATTTATCAGTAACTTCCGCAAAACGGCTAGCCGCCATTTTGAAAATTTCGGTTTTGTTATATTCACCTGTAAGTGAATATAACAGCTTAATACGTCAAATTTGACCAATCAACGTGTAGGATTTGTTATCTTTACTTGTGCCAAAATACTAATAATATAATGTTCAAATATCTTGATAATTCGTAGACAACTAGCTAGACTAATATTATTTATAGACAATCAAATTCATACACGAAGAGACAGGTTCTAGCGTTCCTGCTATAGCATTGAAAGGGAAGACACCTAATTACTCGACTCTTGTTTTCTGAAACCTCGGTGCTATGCCATCATGATGTCCATCATTATGCCTTATCTATCCTTATCTTTCGCATTTCGTTGTTAGAAAACAATTTGTATTCTTACACACATACGTGCAGTGCAGATACACATATACACACCACTGATCTAATAGTAGACTAACCTGAAGTTCAGGCCCTAATTTGAAATAGGGCCTGACACAAAACCTGTCTAGACCGTGGGACGCCCACATGTTATTTTTAGACACACATGCAATATGATTGACAAGTGTTGTAGATTTCGTTACACAAAAAAATTGAACATGTCCGCAGAGTGTGCATTTTGCTTTTTAATTAAACTTTAAAATTCACTGTACTTTTATATAATTAAGAGTCAGTTTCTCTATTTAACAGAACAGCAAACAAAGATTTCATTAGTCAGTTCTGTGCACGGCTAGACTGCCAAGCTTTCTCAAGGTCTCAACTTGCTGGACGCGGATATTAAATATACTCTAACGATTGATACACCGGGTGGAAAGCATAATTTAAAAATGAAAATTAAAGCCCAGCAAATGACTATCAGACTCAAAATTTATTGGCTAACGTTTCGTTGTATTGTTCACAACATCTTCAGAGCAATTAAACTTATTTACAAGCGTGTATTATATATATACAAATAGTTTCAAACGGTTACAGTATTCAAATAAGCGAATAAGAGGAAGGATGAAAAACAACCTGTCATTAAAAGCAATAGTATTAGTAAATTAAAGAAATAATGGTTAGTAATTAGAGACCTATAGCAAAGCATTAGAAAAGGTCAAGAGGAGTTGACCTAATGTTAGCATTTAAAGTAGGATTAAGCTTGGATATGAAAAGGCTTTCGCGAATGAGTAAATCTGCTTCAGAACTAGCAGTGGAAAGGATTTTAAAAACAGAGGGTGAAATTTGATGTTTAGTGGTATGGATATGAGCGAGTATGCCTGACATGGTTAAAACAGAACGTTTCTTTCCAGTCAAAGGTGAAACACCCATATGTTCAGAGATACGCGTGTGTATGTCAAACTCGCCGACACATACACACGCGTATCTCTGAAGTCTGAACACATGGGTGTTTCACCTTTGACTGGAAAGAAACGTTCTGTTTCAACCATGTCAGGCATACTCGCTCATATCCATACCACTAAACATCAAATTTCACCCTCTAATTTTAAAATCCTTTCCACTGCTAGTTCTGAAGCAGATTTACTCATTCGCGAAAGCCTTTTCATATCCAAGCTTAATCCTACTTTAAATGCTAACATTAGGTCAACTCCTCTTGACCTTTTCTAATGCTTTGCTAGGTCTCTAATTACTAACCATTATTTCTTTAATTTACTAATACTATTGCTTTTAATGACAGGTTGTTTTTCATCCTTCCTCTTATTCGCTTATTTGAATACTGTAATCGTTTGAAACTATTTGTATATATATAATACACGCTTGTAAATAAGTTTAATTTCTCTGAAGATGTTGTGAACAATACAACGAAACGTTAGCCAATAAATTTTATATTTTGTTATGTCTTGTCTGAAAGTCATTTGCTGGGCTTAATTTTCATTTTTAAAATACTCTAACGACTATAAACGAGGCTAACAACAGCGACAATATAATGAAATTCTCAATCGTACCACGAAGCCGAAGCCATGTAGCTCAGAAAACAACGCGGTAGGACCTGATATTAAAAATAAGACTTTTGCCGGCGAAGCCAGTTGGCAGAACATCTTGGCCGTCAACAACAAGCTTTCGCATACATGACTAGTTTGGCTGTTCTTTCAGCGTCGTGTTGTCCAAAATTCGTCCAAGATTTTGATAAAGCCCTTTCAAAATACTGTTTGTTTGATTTATTTTCTGCCATAAATTATGAAAGAAAAGAAATTCGAAGAAATCGGTAAAGGAATTTGTTACGTGCGTTTGACCTTTATATTATTAATTCTGTGCCTTGAGCCGTTGACCGAGATATTTTTAAAACTGTTGTTTATGTAAAGTTGCAACCAATCAAAATCCTTCATGATGCTGATCAACCATCTGATTTCCCGTCCACCAGATGGACGGGAATCTCACAGTTTAGATAGGTTTTGTGTCAGGCCCTATTCTGTGATTAGGGCCTGAACTTCAGGTTAATAGTAGACTGGATATAGCTTCTCTAGGTGTGAAAAGCGAAGCCAAATTATATATGCGAAAATCACTTCCGTGGACCACGGAGTGATACAAATTACTATCAGTGGCGTAGCTAGCGAAATTTGACTAGTCCTGCTCTAAGACCCACACATTCTAGGGGGGTTCGGGGGCATGCTACCCCGGGAAATTTTGAATTTTAGAAGTCTGGAATGGCCATTTCCTGCGATATCACGGCGAAATACTCCAAAGGGAACATCAAAAAATTGCGTGATTAGCGGAAAATTTTTGATAATTTTTTTTAGACAAAAAATTTATAACTTTTTGAAATCCATGCATTTTTTATCATATTTCACTATATATTTTTCAACTTAACTGAAAATGTAGCTAAATATAGTCAAGTCACGAAAGAGGAAAATATCATGTATACAATACGCGTCTGTAATACGATCTTTCACTTGATCAACACAATCCAATCTCACATAATCAACAATTGCATAACTATTATACTGTTGAACACGGCGTTTTATACACTATATAAACGCTATGGCTAGCATTCGTTAAACATTCACTACGTTTGTTAGTAATGTGACAGATCACTACGCCTGGCACTCTGAATGTAATTCAGTACCCTAGCTATGCCTATGGTATTAATAATATAGCGTTTAATATAGTCTATGCGGCCAAATATCTACATAAACAGTGTGAATTGGTACAGTATATCATTTTTAAAATTAAACTCCATATAAGTGCTCGTTTCAAATGCACAAAGCAGATGAACTGGCAGTAGATATTACGTTCTTACTTTATATCAATACGACAGGCTTTACAAATGAAGTTTGTATTCCCCATTTAATATATTGTTGATATTGTATTATAAAAATACACAATCATCAGTCGAGTCTGTTCACATGCATTTCGTGAGCTAAAATATCTTAGTAGAAGCCAGAAATTATATCAAAATTACATTGGGCTTCCACACTCGTTGATTTCCATATTCATAACTTGAGTAATCTCGACAGAATTAGTGAAAAGTGGGTTTAGTCACGCGGAAAGCTCGCAAGTAAAAATAATACAAGGCCAAGTCCTGCCATTTCGAGAGAGCAGGACTTCGCATTTGTAAACAGCCGGTTTGAGCATGCGTAGACCTAATTATCCAATCAGAAACCAAGATTTCTTGTATGAATTTACTATGAAATATACTAGCAAGTCCTGCCATTTGAAAATGGCAGGACTGAAATACGAGTCGCGTGTAAATCAATGTAAAGTTGCAGTTGCTAGGTAACAGACACGGTAAGCTGTAAAATTGCGTAAATATAACAAAATGCGAAAAACTTTTTAAAAAATAATAACGAAAAAGACGAGAAAATGAGACAAAATAACAATATGATAATGATAAATTTTTAAAGCTTCAAGATCAATAAAGCAATGCTTTAGTACGGAAATTTGGGGGAATTTTTAGTCCTGCTGGGCAGGACAAGCAGGACCGCTAGCTACGCCACTGATTACTATAGAAATGTATGGCGAACAACGTGAACCAAGGTGAATTTTCCCGAATTTGAGATACTTTGCGAAGTTTTACCAAGCTGATCGCTCCACCGTGGGTAAAAAATGTTATGTTAATGCTTTTAAAACGAAAATTATCCAGATTGCCCTAAAAAATCGTCAGTTTTGTTCGTTCAAAGTTGTCCATGCGGGAATAATATTTTATCGCCACAGTGGTATGACAGCACAATTTCTAGTTTGCTTTCCAATTGCAGAGGCAGAATATGATCTACTATACTCAAGCATACTTTTAAAGGAAAGTTAGTAGTTCATTTTATCATTTATGTTTAACCTTGATCGACCAGAGGGTATCAAACTTTCAATTATCCATCTTACTATAAAGCCTCTTCACAAAATATATAGACATGTCTTAGTTGGTACTATGAAAGATATTTGTACTTTTAATTTAGTACTTTTTTTATTAAACTGGAAGGCAACCTTAATGAAGCTTTCTGTAGAGTGAATCTACTTTAATAGTGAAGTTGAATTTTGAATTAGAACAATAAAATTGATTTAAAATGTGGGGTGTATCTATCATTCAATATCTATAAATTGAGTATAAATATAAGAACAAATATAGAATATATTCAAAGTTAATTTTAAATAATTATCTGCTTAATTAAACCTCAACCACTGATGGACTCAACTCATTGATACCAAAGTAAAATTGTCAGGCAACTATAGACAGTGTGATATAATATTCTGACAATAGAAGATAAAGTATACATGCTTTTTTAAAGGTTGCCTTGGCCAATTATTGATGAAATTATCTCTAATTTAAGTTATCATTCAATATCTATAAATTAACTACAAATATCTTTTATAGTACCAACTAAGACATGTCTATGTATTTTGTAAAAAGGCTTTATAGTAAGAGTCATCCTGGGTATGAGGTTGCATCCTGGGTATGAGGTTGCAAGTAACAAACATCACAATTAGAGCATAAATACAACAATCATAACATAAAAATTTGTATCATGTGGCAGTGCTATATACGACTGTCTGTTATCATGGTTATGATACATGTGGAACACAAGGGCTTACTACTATTATTGAATAGTGCATGAATGCTGATATAAATTCAGATTTACAACCGGAAAACAAAATTCAAATACTGTTTCATAGAATTGCTTCATGTTCTAATTCTAGTAAACCTATATTTTTCTTAATATTGAGGTAGTATATGACTAATTAGTAAGGTAGTTTAGTATTTTCCACATGTGAACATAACAAATCCTACATGTTGATTGGTCAAATCTTCATCTCAGCGAATATTCCCCCAACTAATCACCTCGCCTTCAGTGAATAATTGTTAAATACACAACGCTGTTATTGAATTACAATCAAAATTCAAATTTATAAAAAAAATTGGCAGGAAATTTTTGGTCTGGGAAGCCTGCTGCCAGGAAGAAAAATATTTTATTAAGGCTTGATTTGAACTCTAACCAGTGATTCTTTTTTGAATACCGCTGGGCTTGGGGTGTGTATAAACCCACAGGCACTTGTATTGGGTGTCCCAAAAAATGTCCCCTCTGTTGTTGGCAGTGACGCCATGGGACCCATGTTTTTTGGGGGGCTAGGGCAGTAATTTTCCGACAAACCGGCCACGGCGCCACTGGTTATTGGTTAAGTAGTAATAAAGCCTAGTTTCCTTATGGTCAAAAGATTGAGTCACAATCTTTAGAAACATCAGCCGAAATACAACATTTTAGAACTGACAATATGCAGAGTGATTATAACTAGGGAATACTTATGATTTATATGTGGTTTACAGGTATAAACTATTATATACTGACCTTTGAGAAAATTGTCACTCTATTTTTATGACCGTTATGACCATATGGAAACCAGCCTTTATTCACAGTAATTAACCAACAACAGAGGGGACATTTTTTGGGACACCATATATATGCTGGGAATTTGGTAGAAAAGCATCAATGGATATTTTACAATAACAAACGTTTATATATAAATGAATGATCAAAATTAATGAACAATACACTCAGCCTCTGGAGTCTCTATAAGAACAATAAATAAACTCTAGAAATGAAAGTTCAAAATTCAACTGCAATATAAAAGTAGATTCACTCTTTATACTACAGAAAGCTTCATTAAGATTGTCTTCCAGTTTAACAGAATAACAAATAAAAACAAGTACTAAAAGTACAAATATATTTATTACATATCTTTAGAACTACCACAGTATTAGACAATGTACTGACTACAGTATATATATATATATATATATATATTGTAAAAAGGCTTATTAAGATGGTAATTTGAAAGTTTGAAACCTTCTGGTCGATCAAGGTTAAACATAAATGATAAAAGAACTCTTTACTTCCCTTTAAAAGTTTGCTTGATCATATTCTGTCTCCGTAATTGGAAAGCAAACTAGAAATTGTGTTGTCATACCACTGTGGCGATAAAATATTATTCCCGCATGGACAACTTTGAACGAACAAAACTGACGATTTTTTAGGGCAATCTGGATAATTCTCGTTTTAAAAGCATTAACATAACATATTTTTTCCACGGTGGAGCGATCAGCTTGGTAAAACTTCGCAATGTATCTCAAATTCGGGAAAATTCACCTTGGTTCACGTTGTTCGCCATACATTTCTATAGTAATTTGTATCACTCCATGGTCCCCGGAAGTGATTTTCGCATATATAATTTGGTTTCACTTTTCACACCTATAGAGGACCTATATCCAGGGCAATTGCTAGATAGTATACTTCAAAATATGGTTTCCGTTTTTATATCAATTTTTAAAATAATTAAAATAAGTTAGGGTTAGGTTAGGGTTTAGGTTTAGGTTAGGGTTAGGTTTGGGTTAGGGTGAGGGTTAGTATTAGGGTTAGGGCTTAGTTTTGCGTTAGGATAGTTTTTTTCTACGTTATAAAAACGGAAACCTTATTTTGAAGTATACTATCTAGCGATCACCCTATATCCAGTCTACTATTACATCAGTGATACACACACAGAAGGGATGATTAAATTAATGACCGAATACATTGAAAAACTATCCTTACCTGCAAGAATAGCCAGGGCCCAGGTAACATCGGCCATTTTCAAGATGACACAACCTGTTAGTAAAGGACTGCCCTATTTCAAAGCCAGAAATACAATCATCATTTGGACCAGGCATTCCATGTACTGATGCCACCATGAACACGACAAGGAGAACAAAACAATACTTCATCACTGCAGGAACTTGCGTCTACATGCATTGAGGCAAAAATTAGTCTATATTGATATCTGGGAATGCTTTTGCCGAGTAACATCCGATCCCTAAGTCAGTTTGGCGGTCTAACAGTTGATCGAAAAACATGTTAAAAGTTAGAATTGTCGACGTTTTCCCCCATTGGAAAATTTCGCAATAGCTACAAAATTAAATGAGAAGTGCTGTCATTCGTGTCGATCAAATCGGCAGTCGACCAAAATGGCTACAAACATATGACTAGGACGCCAAAAATGGAATAACGTAATCTAAGGGAATCTGCTGTAGCCTGAAATGTGCGAAGATATTTGTTAACGGCAAGCTTTCTTGAAATATATTCATTAAAGGAAGGCAAGACTAAAAAATTGTATTACTCATTTTCCTTTGTCGCGTTAGAATAGGCAAGGGTATAGCCTAATTTTAAGGTAGGTAAAGGTACTCTGGCGTAGGTTACAGTAGTCTAAGTTAGACCAAAATATGCAAGCTACGGTTGGCTAAAAATTACTGCTATGGATAACTAAAGCAGGACAAGGTAGCCAAAGGTATGTAGGTATACTTAAACCATCTTTGGTAATCTGATGCCTGTTAAGTGGCCTATACTTGCCCATGCAATAATTTTTGCAGCTAACCACACGAATAAAACTTAAATGTTGTAACTATCTAAATTAAATTCCATCTTACCTTGTTGTTTAATATGATTTCGGTTAATATTCCGACACTGCTGTCCCTCTGTGGCAATTCACTTTTGAAATGAAGCGAGGGTTTGAGAGTTAATGATTTGAAATTTTAGCACGCGTAAGAATGACGCTCATACCACGTGCAAGCATTTACGTCATAATAGTACAAAACCATCTTTGATAACTAACCTAATGCCTGCTAAGTGGCCTAGAGTTGCCCATGCAAGTAATTTTTGCAGCACGAATGAAATATAACTATCTAAATTATATTCCATCTTACATTGATGTAACGATGTATAGCACAAGTGCAGCTAAAAAACAGACGTATAGTACTGCAAATACGTATAGTAAAAAACAGACGTATAGCACAAAGTGCCGTTAAAACAGACGCACATAAGGTGCACTTGTGCATAAATAATTTATCTTTTATAGCCTCTAAAGTTTCACACAATGCCATGTACAGCTGTATTCGCAGACAACATTCTAGGAAATCATCTTGTTCCCCCAATGTTTTATTAAGTCATAAGTTACGAAGGATGTAATATCGCACGCTGTGCGTGCGCAAATACAAGTCGGTACTGGAAGCATGATTGAAGCACAATATCGAATGTTTATTCAAGATTAATAATTGACACAAACAGCCGTGATACGGTTCCAACATTCGAACAGATAAGACGTAGTTAAGTGCCGTGACTAGGAATTCGTAAGTTGAACATCCGTTTTAACGATTTTCTGAGTAAGTACGTACACAACATCTTCGACTTTGACGCCGAAGGATCATTAAGACACTTTTCGTCCGGCCTGCGGTTTTTTAAGTATGTATAGGAACGGACATGTCCATGCAAAGTTTGTTAAAAGTTACTTAATATTTGATCATTATGTTACTAATAAATTAATATACATTAATTGGTTAAATCAACCATCAAGTAGATATCATTTGGTAGTGTTTAAACGATTTCGTACGGCACTTACTCGAATAGAAAACGCATGGAGAGGGAAATAGAACGTGATAAGTTTAATTTACACTGCAAAATGCATTCATAAAAAAGAGATTTAAACATTCCTACCATACCTCACACAATTAAAACTAACAGCATACGCAAGATCTCTCAACAATTTGGCATGCTGCCACTATTGCTTGCCGAGAAACCTGACAAACAAACGACAAAGCTAGTAAACGCCCTCGGTCTCGAGCGTTGGTCCTTTTCCCTCGCTACTAATAAACAGTACAGCGACTGGAGTACGTGGAAATTCAACTGGCAGTGTATACCAAATACGAACCCAAAATTTTTATTAGACGAACAGTATAAGTTTATTAATTATATACATTATATATAGACAGCTAACGGATATAAGCTATTTTGAAATCTGATTGGCTCTCTACTAGCAGGATATTATATTTATTGGATTCGATACTACAAGGTAGATCCTAATATTGAAGTCGAGACATAATATTTTGCCATATTGAGCGAAGATGAATCCAATAAGCGTTTTACTATATCCAACAAAACAATGCTATAACAAAAATGTCTACAAGCGAGAATGATATACAGACAGCGATAGAATTATCACACATCGACGGCGAATTTGCTAAAAAATAAAATAAACTCAAAAAAGTTCATAAATGCGTTTTTAAATATAGTACCCAATTCAATCTATTCTTAAAGGTAATTTGGATCAATTTAACGAAAACAATAATATTTTACTAACCTCGCGAGTGTTGTAAGATGGCTGATTTATATATAGATTAAGTATTGCAAATATATGTTTTAGCAATTTCCAACTTTTTTCGTACATAAATCCGAGCTCTGCACGTCGAAAACATCATTTAATTACTCGATCCTTTAACCGAATAAATTTGCAGAACAGTTCAAGTAGGACAAACCAGTTCCCGAGAACTATATTCCTACCTTATCTCATCACATATACCAGATAGTTAATTCTCCCAAAATTCGCAAACTGCACATTTTTGGGCAGCATTTTAGGACATTCGTGGGCAGTACATGGAGCTTCTGCACGTCTGCATTGATAAAAGTTGAGTTTATCTTTGTTCTCCAACAGTTTACAAACCCGTAGAGGATCGATAAACAGGTTCCAAAAAGCCATCAAATATATGCTTATTAGCAAACAGAAAATGTGTACATTGAGCGTTGGAATAACCACAAATCACTCGAAAAATTGAAAAAACCCAGCAAATTTGTAAATGTTGATCCGCAATTTTGCTTTAAAATTGACTGACAAGGTGTATTCGTGGGCTCAGTGAGGTTGATTTCGCAATAAAATAGCTCAGATTTCGCGGGAAAATTTGTAAAATGGATAAAATTATTTGCAGCAGTTTCTATTTGGGCTTCTTTAACAGTTGGAAATTTATTTTAAAATACTTTTCTTTCATTTACTTGAACATACTGTACTTCAAGTAAGTATTTAAACGGCTTATTGTTGTATTGTGCGTATAAAATTTGCATACGAATACAATGTCGGATACATGCCCGACTGCATTCTATTCTTTCTTGAAATGGAAACTTGGTGAATATGAGCCCGCGCGTTTTTCCGTTGACTGTCCTGAATATCTGGCCATGTGTCCTGTAAAAACAAACAAAATGTATGTCAAGAATTCATTATTTCGAAGATAACTTGTACCTACAGTCTATTGAGAATATTCATAACACGCAATAATAATTCTTCAGTTAAAACGATAAGCACAAAGTTCAAATTCTTCGTTTATCTCTTGTACAAAAAATTCACATACATAACTTGACACATAAATAGACAACGATGACCATCATTATGCCTTATCTATCTTTATCAATTTCTTTCTCATTTCGTTGTTAGAAAACAATTTGTATTCTTACACACATACATGAAGCGCAGATACTGTCAAATATACACACACAGAAAGGGTGATTAAATTAATGACAGAATACATTCAAATCCTTACCTGCAAGAATATCCAGGGCCCAGGTGACATCGGCCATTCTCGAGATGACACAGCCTGTTAGTAAAAGGCTGCCCTATTTCAAAGCCAGAAATACAATCATCATTTGGACCAGGCATTCCATGTACTGCTACCACCATGAACAGGACAAGACTGAGAACATAACAAGACTTCATCGCTGCAGGAACTTGCGCCTACATTGAGACAAAATTAATTAGTCTATATTCATATCTGGAAATCCTTTTGCAGAGTGATCTCCCTAAGTCAGTTTGACGTACGGCCTAACAGTTGAAAAACATGTTAAAAGTTGCAATTGTGAACCTTATTTCCCATTGGTAAAATTTGGCAATAGCTACAAATTAAAGAGCATATGAGAAGTGCTGTCATTCCTATCGATCAAATCAGCAGTCTACAAAAATGACTGGAAACATACACCTCATTAAACGCTCGCAACCTATGGTTAGGACACCAAAAATGGAGTAACGTAATCAAAAAAATCTGGAGAGATGTTTGTTAGTTAACTATAAGCTTTCTTGGAATTTAAAGGAAGGCAAGAGTAAAAAATTGTATTACTCTATTCCCTTGTCTTCTAGAAAAGGAGTATATATCCTAATTTTAAGGTAGGTAAATATATTCTGGCATGGGCTACAGTAGTCTACGTTGGCCACATTTAAGTTCGAATGAGTTAATGATTTGATATCTAAATTATATTCAGAGCCGTAGCTAGAACGCTAATTTCGTGTTCTGCCCGACGGATTTGTTTTGAAACCGATTTTTTTTGTGAACATGAATATTTGAATATACACCCCCCCCCCCCCCCCCCCC